GCCAACACCCCAACCCCAGCCAGGCAGCCTTCTCGGCGACCGCAAGCTCCTCCGCTCCCCTCAGGTGAGCTTCCCCTCCCTCCCCCCTGCCCCGCTCCTTCCGCGCTTCAGCTTGCTCTGCTCGCGTGCTTGGAGGGCTGCAAGCTTGGACGTCGTCCAATCCGCGGAGATTGGGAGAGGGTAGACCCGGTCCTGGCGGCGGTTTCCCGCGGGGATTTAGGGAGCTCGGTTAAACCTCTTTTTTTTTTTAACCTCTGGTATGCTGGGGGTCGATGGTACAGATGTTGCTGCGCCTGATCTTGGTTGTAGTTTGGGCACGCGTTGGCTTGGCTACCTCACACACAGTCCACGGGCAGTGCGTCTGCTGATTGTTACCGTTCTGGATGGATGGATACTGTACCTACTTTCTATCAGTTCAAGCCTAGTTTTACCCTGATTGCAACGGAATTTCACTTTTACTACCATCGGTTGCATGGGACAGGGCTGAATGCTGGCGTTTAGTCCCACTTTTCGTCTTCTCTAATAGGACTACTACTTTTTATCTGGTAGAATAGAAACAGAACATGTCTTCTCTGATAGCGATTTGTCTCCTGAATTCGTTGATCCGTTACCCATTTGATGGAAGGTTGTTTGCTGTACCTGGCTGGAGATAATTGGACCGACCACTATAAGTAGTGTAGATACCCTAAAATGCTCATTGATCCTATTGAGTTTTTTCATGCTTGCGCATCGTCAATTCCTAACTTGTTGGTACTTTACATGTCTCTGTCTGGTTTCTTCATTAGGCTGTTGAGTGGCCAGAAATCTCGATATGGATGTGCCTGCGGCTCCAGCCATGGCATTTAAAGCCTACAAGTACAAAGAGGTTCTTGTTAGGGACTACTTGCTGGCAGACTCGTATGCTCCATACGCTGCTGTGCTTGGGGGGATCCTGATGTGCAAATTGGTAATGTCATTCACCCTTGTTCTTTTTAAGCCTTGTGACAACTCTACTAGTAACCGTGCAATAACCTTTTTGTGTAGCATGTTGATTGGGCAAAAAATGTGTTAAACTTCTTTTCATGCTCATGTAGTTTGACTTACTGAGTTTCATGTGGGCGCTTAACTTTAATCTATTAATTAGAAAATGTTCTCATTATATTTTGAGTTTTTTTTTCTTTAACATGTCAATTTGTATTGATTTTATTCGCCCTTCCAAACCATGATTACACTGATGAGAGTGTAGATCAGGCGCCAGTTGAGCAAAGAAATTTTGCTTAGCAGTACATATTTGCTTATTAAGGTTTGGTATTTATTTGTAGATATATTTTATTTGTTCCACCTCAGTTCAGTATTCATTATGACTTTATAAGCTAAGGTCAAATGCGATACAGCCCAAAGCCCCACCATGTTATGGTTAAGCTAACGCAAGCAGATTTTGGTTGAGCTAACTCAAACTTATTTTGGTTGAGCTAACTCAAACGTATTTTGGTTGAGCTAACTCAGCCGTATTTTTGGTTGAGCTAACACAAATGAATTTTGTTTAGTAGCTCGCTGCAATAGGGTAGTGTGATGCTAGCAATGAACATTATTTGTAGCATGTGTTGTCTCTGTGAATCTTAATTCTCAATGGAACTTCGTAAATGCATCTATCATACCTGAACTTCAATCATTGTTAAAGTTTCTTGACTATCACATAACATTATTTGTGTTTGCTGGCTCAGGCCTACGATTTCACGCGCATTATCAGTTCATTTAACTTCAAAGGTTATGCTTCTCTTAACGATATGCAGAAGATCGAATGGAACAACAGGTGAGATTAATTTTACAACTTAGTATCCAACTCCCTCCTTTGGTATACATAATATTTATGACTTTTTATCTTCTACTAGGGGCATGTCCACTGTCCATGCAATATTCATTACAGTTATGTCAGTATACCTAGTGTTCTTCTCGGGCATGTTTTCTGACCAGCTGGATGGACCAGTAACAGTTAGAAGTTCAAGCCTCTCCAGTTTTACATTAGGGGTATGTGTATGCTATTACTTCATTTTATTTTCTTGAGAGAATGCACCACAAGCTTCTTGTTTAACATCTCTATCTTTCCATTGCCTCGTTCTGAGCTGAATCTCATGTTTGCCAGGTCTCTATTGGGTATTTCATTACAGACATTGCCATGATATATTGGCTTTACCCTGCCCTTGGTGGAATGGAGTATGTAAGTAAATATGCTTTTGTCATGCCTTCCCCTTCTCCTCCTGTTCCACGTTCTAACCGACTAACCTTTGCCGGCTACTCTCATTCGACTCTTCTAAACTGCCTTTCTGTCTTTATTGTTACTTTTAGGTTATCCACCACATGCTTTCACTTATGTCTACAATGTACGCTATGCTTTCTGGGGAAGCACATGTATACATATACATGGGTCTCATCACTGAGACTACTACACCAGGAATCAATCTAAGATGGTAACTTGTACTCCCTCCGTTCCCAAATACTTGTCTTTCTAGGCATTTCAAATGGACACAACATACGGATGCATGTGGACATATTTTAGACTGTAGATTCACTCATTTTGCTCCGTATGTAGTCACTTGTTGAAATCTCTAGAAAGACAAATATTTGGGAACGGAGGGAGTATATGTGAACAAGTTCACAATTGTTGTTTATATATTGCCATACTTCAATCTGCCTAAACTGATATTATATCTCTTGGTCCCATCAAGGTTCCTTGATGTTGCTGGAATGAAGAACTCCAAAGCTTACCTTGTTAACGGAGTTGCAATGGTTGTTACTTGGCTGGTAAGCACAACCACTATCTGCTTATAAACGACACTAATTTGCAATGGTTCTTACTTGGCTGGTAAGAACAAGACACTATTCACTTATAAAATGACACAGCGTATACATGTTTAAAAAAACATTGAACTTGTATAACCACATCCAAGATTGTTGACTGCAGTAATCTTACAATTTTCTGATTCACAACGTGTCCCAGCCTTCAAATCGGTGTAGTTGTGTTGACTGTTGACTACTTTGAATCGACAAGTGGCTTGCTTCGAGGATATATTACTGATACATAAGCCTGTTTGTCCTACACTAGAAACTGAAATTTGCTGTTGCACACCACAAAGGGAATAATTATCCGTTGGATCTTAATTTCACCTTTCAAATTGGTAGCATACATCACATAAGTTTTGTTAGGTCATTTAAGTATTGGATTGTTTGTAAGGACAAACGTGGCCTTTGTAACTCCTGAGGGACTTGAGATAAAATTATCAAATTTACAGCCATAACGTGACCACTAATAGTACTCAGATTTACTCAAATCTGTTTGCTAAATGCGTATGGTCTAAAAAACAAATATGATGTATTTTTATTACAACCAATTGGTTCCTAATCTCGAAACAAATGCCTTCATGCAGGTTGCAAGGATAATTCTGTTCATGTACTTGTTCTATCACATGTTTGTACATTATGATCAGGTACACCACGGTTCATTCGAGGTCACTATACACCACAGCTACCGCACACATAATTCTGATTTATACTTGTTCATCGATGACAGATTAAGAAGATGAACACCTTCGGCTATTTTCTGGTACTTATTGCGCCTTGCATAATCTTCGTGATGAATGTGCTTTGGTTCTCCAAGATCCTAAAAGGTCTCAAGAAGACGATGGCCAAGAGGCATGCTGAGTAGTGGAATGAGTATTCATGATTTAACGTACAACTACCGCCCGATCATCTGTAGATTTGGTTACATCTGCTTATAGCTTCTGAGTAGTAGTCACGACCGTAGCTCATATCGGTGATTTCAGCTCAGCTGCCACGTTTCGGTGTTTGACTACCCAGCCTTTCCTAGATGCTCGATTTGTATATATGTTTGGTTACGGCTGCATTTACCTATTTGCATGTTAATAAATCTTTTAGTTGTGTATATATGCTCTTATCTCTGAGCCTGTCTTTGAGTGAATTGTTTTCTGTGTTTCAGCCGCATATATTTTTGTCATTTTCCATAGTTCTGGAGATCCCTCTAGGGAGTCTGCCTTTGAAACGAAAATACGGTCACCTTAAGGATATTTCCTCTTTAGCTCCCACGCAATTGAATTAGAATTCGTGAAAACTCGGCGCAGCCTGCTATTAGGTTTGGCAATGCTTTGAGGATCATTTGTGGGTTCCAAAATGGAAAGGATGAAGAAAAGAAAGAAGGGCTGGAGGCCAAATATAAGCAAATTTCGAGCACGCTCAGCAAGTTGGACTAGCATTGCCTTGTCTCAAAGAAGGCAGACCCCATCAAAGGCAAATCAGTGGTTGCTGAATACCCTCTTGCCCCTGCAGTTAAGGATAGCTGAAATTCAGGTTTTGTCGTGGCGGGTTCCTGAAGCCGGATGGGTTCAGTTAAATACGGACGGTTCCTTTGTCCAGCCTACAGGATTTGCTGGGAGTGGTAGTTATCTTTCATCATGCAGATGCCTTCAACACTGCTCGTTTGCCCTGGAAGCTGAGTTATCTTCGATCAAGGAAGGGCCGTCTCTGGCCTTGGAATGGAGCCAACTCCCAATACATATTGAGACCGACTGTCCTAAGCTGTTAATCTTCAGAGGAAAGAAGGTGTGGATATATCAAAGCTTTGGCTTCTTTGTGCATGATATCAAATTGCTCATGGCACAACAAAATACCTGTATTGCTCATGTTCGACTGAATAGTGATCTTGCTAGTCATGGTAGAGGTAGTGGCCGAACGGTTGTGTGGCTTGCTTCTGGCCCAATTTTTTTTTTGTTGAACTTTGTAATTCTGATAGTAGCTATGCTACATGAGTAATATACAAGTTATTTCCCACACACAAAGAAGGGAAGATTGGGTGAAGGGTGTTTGTAAGTGAGTCAAAACACCAATACCCCTCCAAGTTGAAGTACCAGCTAATGAGATGCCTAGAAAAGTGCTCCCTCTCCTTGTTATCTACACTCTTCATCGGCGGCGGTTGCTGTTCTGGTTCTATGGGGTCTTAGCACGACGACTTTCCAACTTTCTACTACAACAAGGCTTGTCCGGCTCCAGCGAGGGAGGGGCAATGACAGCGGCGCGCCTTGGGCTCGCTTCAGTGATTGTAGTGATCGCTAGGTGGTCTACGGATCCGGATGTAATTTTAATTATTTCTACTGTTTGTTGCGTTACCATGATTAAAGAAAAAAAGTGCCCCCTCTACCTTGAAGGCTTTACTGCATTATGCGCTTGGAGTGTGGCGGTGAGCATTGCATCTCTAGGCCAGCTCCAGCAGCCTTCTTCTCCACATCCCAAGATCGAGTCTGGCAAAGCTGTGCGTGGACGGTGGGCGTCCATAGCCCCGACAAGTCGTGGTGCTCGGTCCCTGCGTCCAGAGTCTGGCAAAGCTCTGCGTGGACGGTGGACGTCCATAGCCCGGACAAGTCGGGGTGCTCGGTCCCTGCGTCGGTGCAGGAGTAGGGTTATTATTACGGTGGTGGAGCACGGGCCCCTGGCGTACGAGAAAGGGAAGTGTCTCCAGTCGGGGAGTTGATGATGCGAATGGAGAAGGTCCCTGGACCTGGCGTGCGAGAAAGATGGCTTCCAGTGGGGGCGTCCGTTCATGAATCATGACGAAGAAGCGACATATCACGTGGAATGCGGTGCCGCTACTGCTTCTGCGACGCATGAAAAAAGGAAGGTGACTTTTTTCTTTTTTGCAGTGATGAAAAATAAGGAGGCTTTGTGTGTGGCGGAATATAGAAGGCAAGAACAGAGCCAGCGTGCCTGGCTGCTTCGTCAGGCCTGAAGCAACCAGTTATTAGCATTAAGTAAGCTTCTATATTCGGTTTAAGCACAATCAAGTCGTTGTAGTATAGTGGTAAGTATTCCCGCCTGTCACGCGGGTGACCCGGGTTCGATCCCCGGCAACGGCGCATGTTTTTTGTTTTTCTCCGTCCTGCGGTGCTCTTCTTTTCTTCGACCGCCGTGGCTCTATTCAGCGCCAAGACATCAATCAGTCCTGAAGAATCGAATAATGGTCCCTCGTACAAAACATTGTACAGTCGGCATTGAAAGTAAAATCGTTTGTGCAAGTTCCTACTTTGTGCCTCATCAAAAGTCAAAACTCTCACCAAAACTGTAGGCAAACATGTCGTAATTACGTCACCATAGATAGCTCTCGTTGGTTTGTGGCTTCGGGGCCACATTCTCGTGGATACACCCCAAGACCAAAGAAGTATCAGATTTAATCCCAACCTCTAACCTTCCCTTCATGTGCATGGTCGGCATGTCGGCGAGGAGGGACTAGGCCAAGATTAAAAAAAAATCTCAATAAGCTTGGGGCCGCCCCTCTCGAGATGAAATGCGTCAAGCAAGATCGGAGATGAAGTAACATATAAAACTGTCATCCAAAATCCAACAACTGAAACTCTTATGGCGACTAGGTATCATCGGGGCAAGGTGGTGGAGGATCTCAAGTCATTAGCTTTTAACACTCGATCTCTACAAGATCAGGCCACAAACATTGAGATGCAAACCGACGTGGACCGACTGGCTGCCACAAAAAGGGTGCACCTAAAACCAAAGGATAGAGAAACAGTACATATGCACCTAAACCTTATTATCAGCCCAGGTGTCTAAGGGGGTTTGAGTCGTGCGGCACCAGAGTAGGCACTCCTAAGGGATAATGGACATGCATGTTTCTTCCGAGATTCTATGGTTGCAGTTGCACCTCATAACTCTAGGATCACTTAATCGTATTGTATCCTTGAATATTGGAACCAAACTACCATATACCATGATAGTTCAAATGGATCTTAAATTGGATAGTCGATTCAAATGATACAAATTTTCTAGATTGACAAGTTTCTAGATTTCTGATTGAAAGGGCTTCAAATTATGCACTAAATTTCAAATTATGCAACGTGACATCGGCCCTTGCTTTCAGGCACACGATTCAAGCAGAAGATGTAGGCTCCTTGCAATATCCCATCGCCTCTTGTGTGCGGTAGTTAGGCATTTCCCTCTAAGAGCATCGCAAACAAGGGTATGCACATGCCCCTAGACCGTTTTAGGGAGTTGGGGGCAGGGGAACCCCACTCCAGCAGGGGCAGCAAAAGTTGACCAAAACTGCCAAGTGACTGGTTCTGCTATTTTTCATGCAACGTGCCATCGCCTCTTGTTTTTGCACACACAATTTAAGCGGAATATGTAGACTCCATGCAACATCCCATCGCCTCTTCTGTGCGGTAGTTAGGCGTTTTCCCCCAAAGCATCCCTAGCAAGGCTATGCCGAGGCCCCTAAATCATTTTTGGGAGTTGGGAGCAGGGAAACCCCACTTAAGCAATAACAAGCATATATTAATGCAACTTCAGTAATTATTATAACTAATGTAGATCACTTAAAAGTGAATTCCATTTTAAGTTTCTAAGACAAAACTAAGTAGTGGCACACTATTGCAGCATCAAATTCGTTGTCACATGCATAAATATTGGAAAAATCTTAAGGCCAAAAACCGACTAAGCATGAATAAAGAAGACATAATAAGAAAACAAATATTTTCTGATGGTAGCATGAATGAAGTGCATTGGTATTACGTTAAAAGAAGAAAGAAAATAAAGGAAAAAACTGGAAGTAAATGCTTTTTTTTTGTAATAGATATTGTAGAACTTGCATTGTTGCGTAATATGCAATAACAATCATACCGAAAAAGGCTTTCGCCCCGCTTTATATATAAAGCACCGATCACAACAAGCACCCAGGACAATACACGCCACCGCAACACACACACACACCCAAGACAGGATACATAGGCGCTGAGCGCAGCAACACCACGCCTAGCACTACCACTACGAAGAGATGAAGCTACATATGACGGGCCATGTGCTCCAAGGCGGCGCCTTCAGGAAGGGTACGACACCGGAGCGCCACCACCGCCCGATCCAAGGATCAGAGTTTCCCCTGGAGCCGCATGATGGGCAATGAGAGCCGCGACGACGCCTTCAAGAAGGGAACGATCTCCGCCGTCGCCGGTCCGTCCGAAGATAGAGCAGGTTTTCACCTCGGCCAACACTCACGCCACCGAACGCCACACCCCGGCAACCACGCCGCCCACACGGCCATGATGACCGGGCAGCACCAAGGCACAGGCCTTGCCCAAGAGCACCGCGCCACCACCACCAGGGCCGCCCCCCGGTGTAACGCCCACGATGCGGCTATATCTCTCACGTGTCGAAGCATGACTTAGAGGCATAACCGCATTGTAAGCATTGTCGCAAGTGAGGTAATCTTCACACAACCCATGTAATGAATAAGGAAAAGAGATACATAGTTGGCTTGCACTCGCCACGTCACACAATACATAAATATCATTACATTCATCCAGATACACTCAAGGTCCGACTACAGAACCAAAAATAAAGACAACTCCAAATGCAACAAAGTCCCCGATCGCCCCAACTGGGCACCACTACTGATTGTCTGGAAAAGAAACATAATATCGTCCTGAGTCTTGAGTCCTCATCGAACTCCCACTTGAGCTCAGTCAAATCTCCTGGAGCGGTATCATCGGTCCCTGCATCTGGTTTTGGAAGTAATCTGTGAGTCACGGGGACTCAGCAATCTCACACTCTCGCGATCAAGACTATTTAAGCCTATAGAAAGGGTAAAAGTATAAGGTGGAGCTGCAGCAAGCACTAGCATATATGGTGGCTAAC